CCGGGCAACGGCAGCGGGAGCCGCTGCGAGCTCAGCCAGAGCAGCCCGGCCTACCTCCAGCAGAAGGTAAAGAAAACACACGCATAAATCTGCCACAGAGACCTTGCAGCTGGTCCTCACGGCACCAACATAACGCATACGTGTTTGTGCGCTGCTGTGCTGTCTCCTGCGCAGAGCTGTAGTGCTTTAAAGGCTGTCTGCAAAAATCGGCTCCCAAAAGATGCTTCTATAAACTCAGCTTTTGCCCGGGGTTGAAAATCATCTTGCAGGATCAGGCCCCGAGTTGGCCACCTTGGTGTTACGTCGTGAAGGGAAGGGTTGGCCACCGTTCGCGTTGAGGTTATGCGTGTGTCATGCGCGTCAGCAGGCTCCGTGACTTCTGCTGTCCTCTGTAACTGTGGAAATTTAAGTAAATGTCTCATAATTATCAGGGATGTCACCTAGGTTGAAAGGGGCTTAAGGCAGAGGAATTTCAGGAGTGAAAATAACAAAACTGTGTCATTTTACAGTGAAAAAAATAAGATGCAGCTGATCTTTGCACAATCAAATTTGATCAATGATTTACCATCCTTAACAGTACTTTTTCTGCCTGATTAAATATGACAAGATGGCAGCTTCAGGTGCATAATTAAAATTTTAACGTTTTTTTCATACTTTAGCTTGCTGGATAACGAGATGTTAATTGGAATTTTCTTCTGTTGCAGTTTTCATGTTATATTTAAGTCCAACTAACTGTGGGTTGCTATTAGAAGAGATGATCATATAGCCCTTATATTATCTTTTCTCTCCTTGTGTTGGATCCAGCAGCTATATGGGTTGGTTCTACTCAATAATTCAACTGACAACACCTCTTTTTCAAGTACTTTTTCTGAATTAGCAAACTGCTCTGAGACAATCTGTGACTACATGATTGCTACCTGTAACACAGGGGGTGGCCGAGAGAACATATTTGCACAGGAGGTAAACCAGAACCATTCCAACAACAGCCAGTTAGTGATCTAACTGATTAAGTGAAATGTGAAACTACCCTTCAGAATCAGAAAAAAATAGATGATTAGGAGTGTAAATTACACAGAAAACTGAGTTAATGAGATGCTCTCAGTTGGTTTTCTCCAATGTTGCTGAAAGTGATTGCTGCAGTGTTGCAGGTGGCATTTTATAATTTTCCTTACATCCTAAATTTGAATCTCTGATGCATACTGCGTGTGCATGAGACTGAACACCTGAGTTTGTTTGCCTCATTTGTCATGAGTAAAAGAAAATTTTAAATGCCACATAGGGATTCCACTGAAGATAGTCAAAGAGATAGTTCAGAATTTTTAGCACAGGAGTAGATTATTCCTCATTTGATAAAAAATTGTGATAGTAGCTAGAAAATAGAGGTAGAAAGGTAAACAGAATTCCAGAATAGTGCACATTATGGACTGAGTGATCAGCCCAGGAAGGTAGTAGATGCCACATGCTGGAATGATTTGAAGATAACTGATTAAAACTAGTCCCATGATAAGCAGAACCCAGTAGGTCTTCCTCCAGTATATGTCTTTTACCAATTAAACACCAAGAAAGCATTGTTCATGGCAACAAATGCTCCTGAGAAGAGCATCAGAGCTTGCAGAGGGCTTGGTCTGGGATGCTCATTTAGAAATCTGGTGTGAGATACGAGATGAGGCTAGGCTGGTGGACAGTTATCACAAGAGCTCTGCCTACTATCATTCAAAGCAAACTCAACGAACCCAAGGTTGGGTTGCTAAGGCTTATGTCCTCTTATCTGTGGTGCCAGATGGACGAGCAACTTGGGAACTGACATATCTTTAGAGCACATGAGGAGGTGGACACAGAAACTGTCAAGCCTTAAAGGCAGAAGAAGTTCCTAACAAGGAAAAAAAAAAAGTTTCCATGGCAAATAATCTGCTACTGAAATAGTTCAGTCTTCTTCAGGGAATACTCAATATGTTTTGGTGAGCCTGGAGGCTGTGGATAACTGTGAGTCAATGAAGGGGGTTTTGTCTCAATAATGCTTGTAAATTATTCCCTGAAACTGTGTTTCTTTAGTATTAGTAAATGCTCCTTTGGTGCATTGTCCTATGATGTCATGTCTCAGTAGAAATAACTGTAGAAAACATGCTTGGTGGATCTAATCCCAGATGTAGATCCCATGAAGAAACTTAGATTTCACATTTTTGCACTTAGCACTTTCCATCTCACTCCTCCTAAATTCCACTTGGTTTCCAAATTGTGATGACATTTACTTCAGGATATAAGATTTGATATTCCTTTTTGCAAAACACTGAAGCAGAATGCTTATTTTCAGATTAATTTTAGATAATGTCTCCAAATGATGTGATGGTGAATTTACACATTACTGGCTCTTTTGTTTTAGCACAACAAATAATGTAATTAACTTGAAGACTATAAGGCCTTCAAGATGGTGGTTAAATTATGGCCATTAGAACTTTCTTTTTGTTTTCTCTTTCCTAACAAATTTTCATTCCCTTCATTTCAGTGCATCTCAGCAGACTGTGAATTATTAGTCAGTCGCTCTTGTCTAGCATCAGGCTTGTTCCATACTTGTTACTGTAGCATATGAATACAAAACTCTCAAAATGCCCATTAATTTCAGTGAAACCTGGTCTCCATGTTAAGCAGTAACCATGTATATGGTGAAAAGAGCAGACCAAGTAATCCAAATCTCAAGACTTTGCTGAGGAAATAAGCTGACATCCTGGGTTTTCCAGGATCACCCTAGCTGACTTACATGTATGGATGCTGTGAACTTTTCTGCCCGGAGTATCCCCAGCAGGCCCTGTTTGTGCTTAGCTCTTAGAAGCCTACATCCCTTACCAGTTAATTTAGGATAATTCCTTCAGTTCTGAGAACGGAGAACAGTTTTTACTAATCTCACCAATTTCAGAGCAAAATTTAAAAAGAGACTGCAGGCAAAATCATCAGCAGCCTACCAAGATAATTCGAAGTGGATAGTCTTTACAGCATTTAGATCAATTATTTCTTAAGATTTGAAGGAAAGTAGTCATTTTGTAATCTATCAAAAATAAGTTCAAAAGTCACTGTAATAAAAGCTAGAACATTCTGACTGCTGGCTGGAATAATCTTTTTTTTAGCTCAGAAGAAGCTATATTGAAACATTATTTATCATCCATGACATACATTTTCCTTTGCGACTCAGTAATATTTTTTAATTTTATAAGCCTGTCAACTTATCGTGTCCTTCCCATTGTTCAGCCTCAGGCACAAGATTTCTTTCTTGATTTAATAGTCATTTAAGTGAATTGCTTCTCTTACTTTTGAATTTTGTGATTTTAAAAATTATTTCTATCCAGCATAATCATTTTTTTTCGAGGTAGAGTGAATTTCCAGATTACAAAACTGGACTCTTCAAATTTCTGCAGTTCCCTTGATTTTAACAGTTACATGAGTTTAAATCAGCTGAGTATTTGACCTGTCATTTTATATATTCATTTCCATTTATGTTGTAAATACGTGAAGGGGATGGTGAGTTCTTTACCCTCTAAATGATCTAAACTCTGTCCTTCTCTATTTGGGTTGTGACATCGGTAGACAAGTCATTTACATCAGCCACGTTATGGTTATGTGTGGCAGCTGCATGTGTAGTCGTGTTCTTTATGTTGCACACCTCCTAAAGCAACAAAACCTAAGTCTTCGTTGTTTTATTGCTTCTGTTTCATGTTTCATTATGGCTTTGACAGTAACATTTGTGTTGTATGTGAGTTGAGATGATGTATAATAACATTTGGTTTTACTTCAAATGTATAGTTTCTAATACAAAAATATTTCTTTGTTACTGATGTCTTAGAAGGTAAATGCTACTAAAGATACAGTGCTTGCAATAACATGGAATCACAGTATCCTCTTTGCTTCATAAACTATACAAAAAGCACTATCCAATAATCAGATTTTTTTTTCAGCCTTCATAAATGAAGTTAATCATTGCCCCCAGAAATGTCTGTGATTTGGTTGTTATGTCCATTTCTCTGCAGGCTGAGTTGCTTCCCTTCTTGTTGATGCTGTCCCTTTAGTCCAAGTAATTTCCCATCCCGTGCCAGCCTTCTCTAAGCTCTTTTCCTCTTTTTAAATCATTTCCTTTCCGACATTTTTTTTTAAATCCAGTCTGCATGGCTTCTCTGTGTGCTGTCACATTCAGCAGACAGGGCCACTTCTCTAAATCCTCGGACTCTTTTCTTCTGAATAGATAGATAGACCTAATGCCCACCATGTAGGTCACGTTTTATTCCCTGTTCTCAAGCACGGACAACGTGAAAGCAGAATAAAATACATTACTTCTCCCCAAATCCATCAGCAGGGGAGGCATTAGGGATCAGAGTATCATTTTCCATTTAAATCTGTTTAGTCTTCATGTTTTTGACACTCCCAGGGTGACTGCAGCGCTGGCCAATGGACATGACATCATGACTCCTAAGACACACAGACACCATAAGGGAAGCGAGTGAAAGACTCCAGAGTGCTAGAGGCCTGGGGGGCTTTCCATGAGTCCCCCAACATAAGCTGAATTTTCCTCTTGTAAGAAAACCCAGTCAACAAGGAAGAGTTTGAGCTTGAATCTCGTGGTCTCTGCGTATAAGTGTAACACTGAGTCGATGTGGCATTCAGCACAACTGAAAGGTGCCATGCGGGTGGTTTCAATGCAGGCAGAGGAAAGCTTGAGAAGACTTCACCTCCCAGCGTGTCGCTGAAGAGTGCCAGCCCCTGCCGCGGTCTGGGTGATACCTCCAAGGAAACTTGCACTTTCAGTCACCTCTCTGCATCTGAAGGCTTGTTCTGTGGAGTGACACAGTATAAGAGTTTGGGCAAATGGATTTAACCCCTTTTCCACGGCCTCTCTTTCATCCGAATAGCTTTTTTCCCTTTTAAGGGCTTTTGTGACTACTGTCTGTGTAGCCTGCATAGATATGATGAAAATTGAATTAGTTTACTGAATGTAATTTAGCAGCTAAGTTCATAACTGCGCAAGATAGTCTTTTTCTATTTTGTTCTGTTTTTTTTCTTTTTGTTTTCTATACTTTTTTCTATAACTTTTTTTTCTATAATCTTTTCTTTACTGTTTTTATAAATTTCATTTTATTTTTAAACTGTTGAACGCAGAATGTTTCCCCTCATTTTTATTAACGTTTGATTGTCATCAAGTGGCTACTGTTCCTTATGAGAATACCTGCTGTAACATCTCAATAGGGACATCACTGATTTGGAAGCCCAGAAACTACCAGTGTTTTTAAAATGTGAATCAGCATCATTTTTAATGCTATATTTCGCATTTGTGCATCATTATTATTTCTAACATTGTACTTCAGGAGCAAATTTTGATCTGTTTACTCACATAACCCGTGCATCATTTCTCTGTAGCTGTCTCAGTAGGATTATTTATGAAGAAAGATAGTCTCCTAGTGAGCAGGGAGCCTGGGAGGTGCTCCTCAATCAAAGAGTGGTTTGTACTGTATTCTGAAAGATTTAAAAGAGAGCCAGTGTCCTTTTGCAGAAGGCCGTGCTGAAGGATTACAGTGTGAGCAGCTGTTGTAAAAGTGCAGTCAAAAGAAGTGTGCTCTTGGCTTTGTTGGAGCTTCTCTGCTAATGGTGCTTGTAAGAGCCTCTCTAGAATAAGGTCCCTCTCTATATCTCAAGCTGTAACAAGACGTGTTTGAGGGCTATTGAAGGGAAAATTACTGAAGCAAGACTCTTTGAACGTGCATGTCCTTTGTATTAGCCATTATTGTATAATATACTCTTAAATAGTGCTGTATTTCATTATAGCCTAATATAGAATAATATGATTTCACATAAAACAACAGATGCATTACTAAATATTCCTTTGTAATAGTATAATAATTGATGTATATTGTATTGTGCTGTATATGGCATGCTTACTATAATTGCAGTCTCAAAACATATATTTCAATATGTCATATATATAGAATATATATATTTTACAGTTTATTATAGCCTTTTTCTTTTTTCTCTTTGCAGGAAGTTCAAGAGAAGGCCTCTCTTTTTACTATGCAGTTGGACTTAAGTGGGGCAGTTCCCAGCCTTATAGTTACCTTTATCATTGTAGCTAACGGGGATCGCCAGGGACGAAAAAGGTCTTTACTTTTACCATCAGTGGGAGCACTGATTACAAATATCTTCTTCACTGCAATATCCTATTTTTCCTTGTCCCTCTTTATCTTATATGGGGTTGCATTTCTTACTGGACTGTTTGGGGGTATGGCAACTTTCCTCGGAGGAGGTTTTGCTTTTGTAGCAGATCTGTGTCATGACGAGAAGCAGAAAACAACACGAATAGCTGTGGTTGATTTGATCTTTGGTTTTGTGTCAGGGTTGGCAGGACTATCTTCTGGCTACTTTCTAAAAGGAGTAGGCTTTACATGGACGTTTGTGACAGCAGCTCTGCTGCATATCATTAATATTATCTATATTATATTTTGTTTGGAAGATACAGGAGGTGTATCTGAAATCCAGCAACAGAATCCAGTATCTTGTAAAGATATTCTTAAAGAGACATTTTCTGGAGTCTACACACTTTTTAAAACTGCCCCTTTTAAAAAGAGAGTTTTGATCACTGTGTTACTGTTTACATTTATGACTTATTTGTTTACTGTGTTTGGTGGGAGTTCACTTTTTACACTGTATGAACTGGATGAGCCGCTCTGCTGGAATGAAGTGTACATTGGATATGGAGCAGCTGCATCCACTTCCATCTCTCTGACTAGTTTTTTAGGAGTTTACTTATTTTCTAAGTGTCTCAAGGACATTTATATTGTCTTTATTGGAATATTTTCTTACATTGGAGGAATGGTCATGGCTGCCTTTGCCAAAACTACCCTGCTCATGTTTCTAGGTGAGTTTCAGAACCACGTGTTTTATGGTCAACAATACATATGAAAATACTGCTATGTTAGCTATAGTTAATGCAGTTGGTAGGTATTGAGGTGCCTTCTTGAAAGGGTCCTAAAGAGGTAAAAACTACGAAGTTGGGTCAGAGTCATTTAGGGTTTATTTTAAAAGGGGAGGGTGTGGAGGGTAGACAAAATTACTCATTAATGGGTTTTAGTGCGATGCAGATATATGGGATTTGTGATTTTCTTTGTGCTTGGATAATTGTGTCACAGTGCACTTCTGGTTTGATTTTTCTATGACCTGTCCAGGTCATAGAACAGGGACAGGGACGTTTTTCTCTGAGTCCAGGGAACTCAGCACTAAAACCTGTGTGCATAATTTGCTCTGTATTTGTAAATTCACAGAAGTTTTTACCTGTTACGTTTCATGACTGATTCATTGCTTTACAGTAAGAATTCCATCTTTGCTTTGCTTTGTGCCTGTTCCTGTTTTACGTTCCATGCTGTCAAAAGTGGTTCTTCCTAGGGAACAGGGTGAGTAGAAATTGTTTTTAAAAATACAACAATATGTTGTTTCTTAACAGATGCACTAAGATTGCCTTTAAGCAAACAGATATGTATTGATATTTTAGGCTTACTTTTCTTTTAAAGCTCCAGATAATATGATCTTAGTGATTGTATTAGCGATATTAGTGGCTTTTGGTTCTGTATTTAATATGAGTAAGACTGTGTTTTTAAAATACCTTGCAAGCTTCAACTTTGAAAGGAGACAGAGCTCTAAAACAGTCACTGTGGGGAACATGAAACTGAGGAATGCTCAAGATTTGTTGTGGTTTGTATAGCTGTGGCTTTACAAGAGCTTCTACATTTACCAAATTTTGGCATGCAGAGAAAGGTACTGACTTCTGCTATTTAGTCAGTATCACATGATAGTTAGCAGCACACAATTTAGAAAGGTGAGCAGGAGATGGTCAATTGAAAAAGCGTTTCAGAACAGGCAGTTAGAAAGTTGTGTCCTGAATGCCTTAACCCCATGGCTACCTATACACTGCCCAAAGGATATATTACTTCTAGAAGTACTTTATCTAGTGAATCTCAGGAAAGAAAAAAATGAAGCTTAAGTCGGGTCTCAGCATGTTTGGATTTATTTTAAGAGAGACACATCTTTATATACAAAACCAAAGATATCTTCATACTGGAGTGTGCTAACCTGCACCTCTGTTCTTGAGGTTTTTTGGCTTTCTTCACAGTTTCGGATACTCAAGTAGTTTGATGCAGGAATGAGGTTGCCGCTTGTCATCACTTTCTGATTTCCTATTGTGATTTTTTTTCTTCAGCCCCATGAATTTGGATGAGTCATAAGAAAATGTGTTCAAAAATGTACTGGTCTGCCATCCCAATGAGTAGTTCCATAGAAAACTCATACAGATTGCATCCCCCCTTTCATAAAGGAGGAGATACTTGTGTGCTGAACCAGCAGTCTTTGTTGGAAAGGCTAGAAAAACAGCAGAGGGGAAGCAAGAAAGGGAAGAATGAGAATTGAAAAGAAAAGGAAGCGGAAGGGGTAAAGGATTGAGCTTTGCAGAACATACATAGTGAGGATGAATAGTTTGAACCTAACAAAGGAAGGCATGTGCCAAAGACACATGACACTCAGGTGCTTGTTACTTGGGCAATTGCTAAAATATGGCAGATAGAGCTTTGTTAAATGTCTTTCCAGACACGTTTAAGAACTTCAGTACTTTGAAAGGGGTTTTGTTTTGCTTTGTGTATAATCCATGCATTTCTTTTGGCAGGTGCTGTGTTTGCTTGTATTGCCTGTTTAGAAGCTGTGACCCTTACTATCTCAATTTTAGTTTTTAATAGTCTCTATGCAGCTACTGTTGCCTGGTTTCCAGGCTTCAGCTTCCTCTTGTCAGCAGGCCTTTGTCTACTTCCACTGAGTGTACTATGGTGAGTAGGTGTCAGGGGGTTCCTCCCGACAATCTGACAGCGTTTACTGACAGTTTCTCTTTGGCATGCTTTGAAGTCGGGTGGTTCAGTGCAGTAGTTCCCAAGCTTGTTATGTTCTAATCCCTCCTTTCAGTTTCCACCCAGTTTGGGAATTGCTTATCCAGAGGCAGCCTGGGGAAGGTATTCTGGGAGCTGCTGGGAGCGAGGCAAGGGGCTGGAGCCATAGTTAGGTGCCTCCCACTAGACCGTGGGAGAGCAGAGGGGGAGCCCATTGCTGAGAAGAGCTGCCCTCGGTGAGGTTTGTGATCAGCTCTTTGACAGCAGGAACTCAGGTGCTTTTCCTGCTTCTCTCTCCCACCCACCTTGGTAGAAATCTCCAATCCAACTGGATCTCTCCGGTTGTGTCCCGGATCCAGCTACCTGCCCTCAGCTCCATCTGTCACCTGCTTGCCCCAGACTGAAATCTATCCCGAATTTGCTGCTATGAGGATGCTCTACCTTGGTAGCAGGAAT